CAGCTTGGCTTCTGTAACTAAATAGCTGTATGACCTTATACAAGTCACTTCCCCTCACTTTTCCCAAACTCTTAAAAAATATGGCATAAAGGAAACAGTCCTGAGCTTGTTATTGTAAGATGTAGGTTCATAATCCATCTTTGCCTTTTACTAACTGTGACCACTGCTACATCATGTCACTTCTCTCAGCCTCAGTTTTCCCATCTGTAAAATGAGGTGCTTGGACCACATGATATCCAGGGATGCTCTGTTTGGGCAGCTAGGTAGTAAAGTGGATAGAGTGTCAGATCTGGTGTCAGAAAGATTCATCTTTCCAAGTTCAAATCTGCCTCAGACACACTTACTAGCTGTGTGACCTTGGGCAAGTCACTTTAACCCTGTTTGTCTCAGTTTCCTCATCTGTAAAATGAGCTAGAGAAGGAAATGGAAAACCGTTCCAGTATCTTTGCCAAGAAAACTCCAAATGGGGTCATGGAGAGTCAGCTATGACTGAAATGACTGAACAACAATAAATGATTCTTAAGTTCTGTTTCTTGCCTTCAACAAACATTTATCAAGTGCCTACTATAAGCAAAGAATTAAAATATACTAGAATTCAAGGGGACAAACAACAGGTAAGGAGATTTTGCCCTAAGTAGCATGGTATGGTAAAAAAAATCCCTGGCTTCAGGCCCAGGAATCCAGGTTTAAGCCTGGGATCTAGCCCCTTACTTGTACAATGATGAACAAATTACTTCATCTCTATTTGCCTCAGTTTTCTTTTTCATAAAATAGAGATAATCCTCATTCTATAGACTTCTGTACCTGGCCCCCAGCAGGCTTCTCATCCTACAGGTTGCTCTGCCCTTAGGCCAGGGATGGGGAACCTGCAACCTTGAGGCCACATGTGGCCCTTTAGGTCCTCAAGTGTGGCCCTTTGACTGAATCCATAGAACAATCTGTTCTGTGAAATTTGGATTCAGTCAAAGGAGCACACTTGAGGACCTAGAGGGCCACATGTGGCCTCTAAGCAGCAGGTTCTCCACCTCTGCCTTAGGCCTCTCTTCTGACTGGTGAATCTCTGGACTATATACCATGAGGCAACCAAACCATGCACACTTCACTTCCATTTCCACTCTTCAGTCTCCAGATTTCTCCACCTCCTTACCAGCATTCTTTTCTGGCATTCTGCGTGTGCGCGCGCGTGAGCACACACACACACGCACGCACGCACACACACACACCCCCTCCCAAATCTTCACTGGCTGTCTCCATGTCTGGAATTCTCTCCCTCCCTCCCCATCTCCTGGCTTCCCTCAAGTCCCAACTAAACCCCACTTTCTACAAGAAGCTTTTCCTGGCTCCCCCTGAATGCCAGTGCCTTTCCTCTGTCATTATCTCCAAAGGATTCTATATACAGCTTGTGTTACATAGTAATTTGCAGGTGGTTTCCCCATTATATCATGAGCTCCTTGAGGACAGGGACTGTCTTTTGCCTTTCTCTTTAACCTCAGTGCTTAGAATAGTGCCTGGCACATAGTACACACTTAATACAGATTTGCTCATTCTAACTTCTATGTTTTTGTTCATGCCAGGATTAAATTCTAACCATCATCCTTCTAGACCCAGCTCAAATCCCATCTCCTTCATTAAACTTACTCTGTCTTGAATCTCAGACTTGGAAAAAGAGCTCAGAGTTTAAGTCAATCAAATCCATACCTAAGCAGGAATACCCACTACATCATCCCACACTCCAATGAAGGTTTCCATTAAACTCACTCCTTCACTCTCTCCTGAGATCTCCCACTCTACTTTGCAACAGCCCTGACTATTAGGACATTTTCCCCCTTATATCAAACCCAAATCTACCTCTCTGCAATTTCTACCCTTTACTCCTAGTTTTGCCTTCTGGTCGCAAACAATAACAAGTCTTCCACATGACTGCCCTTCAGATATGTGAAGATAGCCTTTGTGTCTCCCTTAAGAATATCCTTCTCCAGTTTAAATATTTCCAGTTTCTTAAACTCATGTTGTACTGCATGGCCTCCAATCCTTTAGCCATTCTGGCCCCGCTCTTCCAGATGGACTCCAATCTTTCAATGTCCTTCCCAAAATGTAGTATCCACAATTACAGTTCTGACTTTCCAGATCCTACAATGCTGTGAATCCTGTCCCATCAAATCTCTGTGCCTTTGTTCACCCCATCCCAATTGCCTGGAAGAGACTCCTCTGCAAACTCAAGCTTGGTCTGTTGCAAACTCAAGCTTGGTTTGTTGAAGTCACACCTTTCTTCAGAGCCCAACTCCCATGCCACCTCCTCCTTTAAGCCTTTCCTGACTTCCCTCTGTTTCCCCCCTCTACCCCTGGGAGCAAGTGATCTCTCCCTTCTCAAATTTCTCCTAACTCTCTCTCCCTCTTATCAGAATTATCTGGACACATATGTTTCTATCAATTAGATAACAAGTTTCTTGAAGAGAGGGTGTGCGTTACATGTGTCTTTGTATCTTCCGCATGTAGAACAAGACCTTGCATAAAGCCTGACCACAGAATTTAGAGTAAGAAGGGACCTCAGGGGTCATCTAGTCCAACCCCTTCATTTTAAAGATAAAATGTTTTTTTAAAAAGTCCAGGGAGTTTAAATGAGCTGCTCAGAGTCACATAGGTAACAAACTATCAGAGACAGAATTTGAACTCAGGTCCTCTGATTCCAGTCAGTGCTTGTTACACTATACTCTGCATGGTAGGCACTTAATAGATGCTTATTGGAATTAAAATCTTGAAATGATTGGGGTTAGAGGACTTAGTTGGACAAGATAATCTCCAAGTACTCCTCAGGTTCCTTACAATTCTAAATTCTACTAATTGTAAATGCCTTGAGATCACAGGTCAGATCTTTAATTTCTTTTGTCTGTCTCTAAGTGGCCAACATGGTACTAGCCATGAGGTAAGCCCTTAATAAATGATGGGATGTTGCTGATGTGATTTGGAGGCAGAAATTGACCAAATTATTTCCCTAGTGATGGGTGAACAACAATCACATAGGCTACAAAGAAGATGGCCAACACATATCCAATCATTCCCTCTGCAAAGAAAGAAATGAATACGTTGCTGTTCTCTAATGCCACATATCACATGCTACACTTCAAGGAACCGCTGTGGTCTAAAAATCATAGACCAGGAGCTGGATTAATCTTGAGAGGTAGTCAAGTCAACCTCCCTCATTTTATAGATGAGGAAACTAAGTCAAATGGCCCAAGTTAGTATGTAGCAAAGCCAGGATTCAAATGCATGTCCTCTGATTCTAATTCCGGTGCTTTCCCTACTACAAAATAGCCTCCTTCCACAAAGGACAAGTCGTAATGGCAGACAAATGAACACAGCAAACCCAACCCCTTTTTGCCTCTGGTGGCCCATGCCTGCCAAGCTCAGGTGCAGCTGAATCTGGGTGCCATGGCAGCTGATGCACGCACAGGAACTTGTACTATCTAATGCCTCCAGGGCCTATTTTCGTCAAAGCAGACAAAGGAAAGAGTCAGAATGGAGCCAGGGCACCAGAGACCTGCCCCAGAACACCTACAAGAGCAGCAGATCATCAGTACCACCATGCTGACCCCTCTGTACCTGGTCTGGCTTCAAACTCATGCTAAAGTAGCCTAGGAGCTTGCTTAAGGAATTGGAGGTGGGGCTCCCTGCACCTCCACCCCCAAGAACTATTTTCAACCTCACACCTCAGGAGCTAAAATTAGAAATGAACATTGGAGACACAGTCAGGAGCCTGGGGAACTTCTCTGGAGCTCCATATCCCTGGCATCTACCCATCTATGCCTCTTACTTCTATGGCCTGAGGAAACTCCCATCATTTTACAGATTTTACAGATGAGGAAACTGAGGCCCAGAAAGGTTAAGACACAAGTCTAAAGTCACAATAGCTAAGGCAGGATTCAGACCTAGCTTAATTCCCAAATAGGTCCCCTCCTCCTTTCCTATCTGTTCCTCCCCACTAGGTGTCCCATGAACCTCATTAAAAAGTTTGAAGAAGATGTCTGGAGAGAAGAGTTTATGCTCTGGCGGCACAGTTTTTTGAGAACACAAGGTCACCTCTATGCCACAGGGAAAAATCTGATCAGGAAATGAATTACATTAATTTAGTAACTGAACCTTCTAAGAGAAGAGATAGGATTCAGCTGCATCCATGTGACAAGAATGATGACTTGTGAACAAAATAAGACAAAAACAAAAACAGTTGTACTAGAGGCATACATAGTGTTCCCTTGTTTGAAATACCAAAAAAAAATCTAAAAATAGTCTCAAAATATAACAAATTATATGCACGTGCATATACACAGAAACTCACAGTCAAGTCCTGGTTGCTTACTGGAGGGGCAGGAAACAGAAGGAATCCTGACAAATAGATAATCCAAGTATTATGTCTATTTGACTGTGTAGTACGTTTTTGCACTTGAGATGTGCCCCAGTTGTATTGATTTTCTAGGACTTCATTCCAGGCAGAAGTCAAAGTTTATTGTGAGGTCCCAATTCTCAAGATCCTAAAAATCCACTCAGTTCTCCTGCTCCGTCTGTTCCACTCCTGACACCTTCTCCTAGCTAGGAAATGATCAGCAATCTTTCAGAGGGATGCAAGGAAGCAGGGCCTTTCTCTACCCCTCCAACCTCTCCCGAAAAAATGAAGTATTTTGGTTTCTCTGTATACAGAATAAAGAGAGGGAAGTAAGATGTGAACAAAACATTGTGTGTGCCACTGATAAGTCAATAATGTCCATGAAACAAATATCTGAGTAGGTGTTGACTGTCCAATAAATCAAAAAGCAATATTTGCTGGGAAGAAAATCTCTCCTCCATCACCTCCCACTTTAAATAACCAAGAGCTAACTATATTCATGTCTCAGCACTGTTCTCTTGAAAAACTCAGTTCACCAAAAATGTAATCAACAACACACGAGGAGCGTATTCAGAAATTCTAAGTGAATGAAAGATCTGTACTATGACCCCATCATACTTACAGTACCCACACCTGGTCCCGCCTTCAAAGATGAAGCCATTTGGCACGGCCCCATAACGCCGCAAGTCAGAGAGCTTCCACTGACCCATGACAGCAGGAGGAATGTCTTTAGCCAGCACCAGAATATCATTGCAGAGGTGAAGAGTAGCCAGTCCACTTTCCAGCTTGGTGCCTGGTGCCACAGCCACATGAAACCTGTGGACTATGGGGAAGGGAAAAGGTTGAAGGGGGGGAGAAGATCAAAGGAAAAAAATTAAATCACACCTTCCTCTAAACCATGTGGTTTGTTAAGACCATCAAATGTTCACCTTTCTATAGAATTTTGAAGTTTTCAAAGCACTTCTGTTATAATAGCCCTGACAGACAAGTAGTGCAGGTGTAATTATCACTTATTTTGCAAATGAGGCCAAGAGGGATGATGGGACTTGCTCAAGATCACATGGCTAAAATGCAGTAAAGCCAAGACTAGAACCTGCATCTGCTGACCCTGAGGTCCAGTGGTCTTCCCACCATGTTACTGATGAGGCACATAAAATCCTAGACTAGATTTAGAAAGGCTGGTGGCCATGGTGTTCTTCTGCTTACCTGGAATGCCACCTCCTTTCCTACATATCCAAATTTTACTCATCCACCATGGTTCACTTTAGGTTCCAAGTCCTCTGTAACCAACCACTCAAACCCATATAAATTCCCCATTTCTCCCCACTAGCAAGACTTGGGCTAGGTTCCCTCTAACGTCCTTGTCTGGACATCAAGTAGGAGCTGACAGAAAGTGGACAGAATCTACATGGGTACAGGGGAGGGGGGTAGATGGGGCATATAGCTTACCCAGCAGGTCATGTGCCTGGGGACAGCTGTGGTGAACTTTATAACCTTGTAACGATTCAGAAGAACACAGGTTGAAGGCCTAATGTAACCACAGTCCATGGTTGGAAGAGGCATTCCACTGTTAAGTAATGAGAGCCTCCTAACAGTCATTCACAGATGAACACCAATGCTTAATACTATACATTTTCTAACCACATGCTGACCAATGAAGAAATAGAAAACAAAGAACTAAGAATGGCTTTTGGAGGTTGGCAGATAGAATGGAGCATCTCCCTGGTATCATGAATTATATATATACATATATATAATTTATATATATGTGTGTATATATATATATGTTTTAAGCATAGGACAAGGAGTTAGGAGAACTGAATTACAGTCCCCATCATTCCTTAGAGCACCTGGGTGGCTCAGTGGATAGAGCACCGGTCTGGAGTCAGGAAGACCCAAGTTCAAATCTGGCCTCAGATACTGACTAACTGTGTGACCCTGAGCAAATTACTTTACCTCTGTTTGCCTCCATTTCCTCATCTGTAAAATGAAGATAATAACAGCACCTGCTTTCCAAGGTTCTTGCGTAGGTAAACTGAGATAATATTTGATAAGTGCTTAGCACAGTCCCTGATACATAGGAGATGTTACATAAATGTAAGCTAGCTATTCCATCAATGGCTCACATTGCCTGACACTGGGCACATCAACTCCCCTCACTGAAACATGAGTTTTCCCCTATATAAAGTGAAGGGATTACACTACATGTTCGCTTAGGTCCCTTCTAGCTTTGGCATTGGGTTTTATGTTATGATTTACTGAAAAATGAAGACCAGTCTTTTCTTTCTCTGAACACTACTATATTATTATTCAAACTGTAAAGTTTAACAATCAACTCTCTGCTCTCTTGTATTCTTCTATTTTCCACGGATATTAATAATTGTATATTCTGCAAAGGGAGGGAGCATATCTTCTACTGTGTTTCCCACGGTGACTAGCGCAGAGCTCAATAAGCACACACGCTAATTTAAGGGGTAGAAGTACAAGGGGGAGCCTTCTAAGAAAACTCAACGATTCCAAGAATCAAAACGCATCAGGAGCCCATGGAGGATTGTTTTTAAACACATCCATTTCTGGTTCCCAGGTCTGTGGTCTTAGAACACTATGGAGGGGACATGTTCTTAAAGTAGTCCCTGTTAACATTTGGCATCAAGACTCTGGATAACCACCTTTTAGGCATGCTATAGAAGGGAAGAGTTGGTAGGACTAGATGACCTGCAAGGTGCCTTCCAACTCTGAGATTTTACAGGCCAACAATCCCTCTATAGTCTTATTTATAGTGCTAGGATACTTCAAGAACCCTTTCATCGCAAAATAGGCCAAGGTCAACCTTAGCTCAGCTAAGGACGACTAAGGAGCAATTCTAAATTGCCACTGTCCAAATGAATGAGTGAACTCGGTGAGTTCTCTTAAATATCCTCTTAAAGGACAGCTCAGCAAGGGCATTTGTCTCTGCTGTCTCTGTGGCAATCTGCTTTCCAGGTTGCCTACATACTAAGTTTCCTCCTGACTCCCTCCTCCTCCGCTAATGAGAGAAGAAAGATGCAGTATGGGAAAGTGGAAGGAGCACCAGATTAGATGGCAAGAGAACAAAGTTCCAGAATTGATAACTCTCACTATGACTTTTGATAAATCACTTCCAGACTCTGGGCCTCAATTTTTTTTTCTATAAAATGAGGAGGATTAGACCCTTCTAGGTCTGATATTCCATGTCCCATCTAGAACAAGCAGTAACTTCAACTAAACATTCAGCATTTATTTTCTTATGACTAAATGACAACACCCAGTACACTGAATTGAATACCGGAGAAACAAAGATGAAACAAGACCCTTACACCCTAATGTGAGAATGAGACAAATACCCAAATAACTACAAGTTACAGATGTGGTAAGGCACAGAGGCAGTCCAGGATGATGTAAAACATTAAAAAAGTAAGAGCTCTCCGTCTATGAACAAGCGGGCTTCAAGAAGAAGGTGGCACCTGAGCTGGGCCTTGGAGGAATAGAAAGGACAACAGGCATATAAGGAATAAAGACAGAGGCAACAGGTTTACCTTCCCCCAAAGAATAGCGGATCCGGATATCCCAGGCATACATTGTGTCCTTGCTTTCAAAACCTAGCATCACAGCCTGGGAAAGGCAAATGATGGCTAGAGTGTGAGTCAAGCCCTCGTAGGGAAGACCAGGATCGAGGCCACAGATGTCCTCTAGAGTCACACTGCTCCTCTCCTTGTAACCCTTGGCTCTTTCAGATTTGTCCTTGTATACCAACATCAACAGGCAGTCTAAAATGACAATCAGAAAAGAATGGAAAGAGAAAAAAAGGCTATTAGAGAATGGCCTGTGAGATACAAACATGTAGCAAATATCTACTAAATATCTACTGAGTATCTACTATTATGAGGTCCTATGTTGAGAGCCATGGGAGATACAAACTCAACTTATTAGTTGAATATATGGACCCCATGTTCTCCCAACCCTAACTTCAAGGAGATTACAATCAAGGAGGGGGAATAAGATAGCCCAAAATGAGAAGAAATCATGCTTTAGAAAGGTCATCACCAAATAAGGGAGAGAGGGCACATCCAAGAATAACTATGAGTCAGATGTGGTAAGTACATAAAAGGTACAAACACAGCGTTATGGGGGTTCAAAGGACAGAGAAATCACTTCTAGCTGTGGTAGTTAGGGAAGAATTCATGAAAGAGGTGACACATGAAATGGACCTTGAAGGAGGGAAACTGTGGTCTAGAGAAAAGTGCACTGACCTGAGAACTGAGAGATTCGGATTTCATTTGGAGCTCCAAATGGAGCTCACATTACTTTCTGGACTTCAGTTTCCCCATGTATAGAATAAGACTATCTGCCCCTCTTTCCTCTCTCTGTTCTAACACTTTATGAGCCAATACAATCAGCTCATAAAAATAAAGTCAAAAAGATTAAAAAAAAACAGAATAAGCTGTTAGGGAACATGTTACATGATTCAGCAAGTAGCACTTAGTATTGCCAATATTTACCCTCATCTTCATCCTTGAGGACACTGAGTCACAAACCAAAATCCCAAATGAATTTTCCTAATTGCCAAAATCCTGGCCCGAAGTCTAAATTTCAATTCTATTACATGATCAAAGTTTACTTTTCAGAATAATAGCTGACGGTATCCCTCAAACTGGAACCAATGCATTTTTCTAAAATACCAATAAATTGTGACCAAAAAGAATGGCTCACGAATGTATTCAGCAGACTTTTACCAAACCCTTCCTATAAACCAGTACAGAGGGGGATACAGAGGTGCATAAGATATTGCCCCTGCCCTCAGAGAGTTAACCATCTAGAGAGGGAAAAGACCCAAGGACAAATGATACAAGGCAGAGTGTGAAAGTATATGAAAAGACATACAAAACACTACGTTAGCTCAGAGAAAGTAAAGCAGAGATACAAATAGCAACTCTTTCATGCATGGTAAATTCAAATTGGATGTATTCAATGAACAAACATTTATTAAGCATCTACCATGTGCCAGGTAGGTAGTGCACTGGAAAGAATGCCAGGCCTGGAGTCAGAAAGACTCATCTCCCTGAGTTCAGATATGGCCTCAGATACTTACTAGCTGTGCGACTCTAGGCAAGTCGCTTAACCCTGTTTGCCTCAGTTTCCTCATCTGTAAAATGAGCTGGAGAAGGAAATGGCAAACCACTCCAGTATCTTTGCCAAGAAAACCCCAAAAGGAATCATGAAGAGTCAGATATGACTGAAAGTGAATGAACAATTATCACGTGCCAGACACTGCTAGCGACTATGCTAGGGACTACAGACACAAAGACAAAGAATGAAACAACACCTACTTTCAAAACCTCAGATTCTAATGGAGGGAAAGGGGCAGACAAGAGATATAAGTGCAGAGTAAATTCAGAATAAATAGAAAGAGAATAAGCCCCAAAGAGTCAAATACAAGGAAGTTTGGACAAAAGGGTATAGCAGTTGAGGGATCAGGCAAGGCTTCATGTAGAAGGTGATATGTGAGCAGAGTCTTAAAGCAAAAGGGGAATCTGATGAGGCTTCAATAAGAAGGGAGCGCATTCCAGGCAAGGCTGATGGCCAGCGCAAGGGCACAGACATGGATATCCTACGAAAAGAACAGAAAGAGACCCAATTTGGCTGGATTGCAAGTGTGATAAGGGGAATAATGTACGACAAAACTGAAAGATAGGTTGGGGCCAGTTTGTAAAACATTTTAAAAACTTATACTAGAGGCAATAGGGGGATACTAGAGGAAGTAACAAGGTGAGATCTGTACTTGAGAAGGATTGCCTTGGCAACTATGTGAACGATGGACTGGAGTGAGGGATGGGAACTGGCAGGAGACCATGGCAGCAGAAGGAGCAGCCTATCCCCTAGAGAGGCTGGATCTGGGTTGGTGGGAAGAGTGAATGACACTACCAGGGTGTACCATAGCAATGGGCAGCACCTTCCCCCTTCCCCCAATGTCAGTGCCTGGAGCAAAGACTTATTCACCTGATACCCTCGCTCGGACTTCTGGCTGAAGGTTGAGAAGGCAGCACCACAATAGATTCCACAGAATCTTATATTTAGAGCTGAAAGAGACTGCAGGAGAAGGAATTTGAGCTGGGCTTTGGAAAGATGGGGCAAGGTCAATAAGAAGATCTGGGATGGAGGTTAGGGCTACAGAGGGACTCCAGCCACAGGGATACTTGAAGCAAGAAACCAAAAAGTCTATATGGGAAACAACAGATCTGGATTCAGTATAGGACACAGATAAGGGTAAGAGTGATGGGAGACAGGAATGGAAAGGTAGGTGGGAACCAAATCCCAGAGGGTTTTCAATGCTCCTGATCACAGATACACGTCCAAGTAGTCTTTGACTCAAACGTGAAATAAATCAGTTATTTCATTTAATTTAAGTCCCTGTTTTCTTTTTATAAAAAGTAGGTTTGGATATATAAGGAACTAACACAAATATGTAACACCAAGAGTCATTCCCCAAGGGATAAAGGTAAAAGGTTATGAACAAACAGCTCTCAAAAGAACTGCAAACTGTTAACAACTAAATGAAAGAAAGCTTCAAAACACTAAATAAGAGAAACAAAAATCAAAACAATTCTAAGGTTTCATCTGAGATGAGCAGATTGACTGAGCAAATTGACAAAGAAGGCAAGATATGTCAAGAGTAGATGTTGGAGAGGCCATGGAAAAACAGGCACACCAACAGCATTCTGTCAGTGGATATGTGAATTCATCCAACCATTCTAGAAAGCAACTCAGAAGAAAGCTAACAAAGTAATTTAAGTGTCCATACCCTTTGATCCAGAGATCCCACTAAGAGGTGAAAGATTAAAAGCTAGGTCCCAAAATATTCATAGCAGCATCTTTTTTTTCTAAGTAGCAAAGAAATGGAAATAAAGGAGAAGTCCATCAATTAGAGTCTGGATAAACAAACTGTGGTCCATGAATGTAATGGAGGTAAAAAAAAAGTTAAAAAATAAGATTAATTTGAAGATTACAGAATAATATAGAAAGATTTCTATGAATTGATGCAAAGTGAAGCAAGCAGACCCAGAAAATAACATACATAATAGCTAGAGCTATGTTAATGGAAAGAAATAAAAATTAAACAAAAAAATTATTACAACTCTAAGGACCAAGATTCCCCATAGAAAACATATTTCCCACCCTTCTTTGCAGAGCTGGGGCACTGTAAGTGCAGAATACTGCATAAAATCCCAGACTTGGTTGATGCACTAGTTGGTAAGTGCTTTTTGGGTTTTTTTTTTCCTCTTTTGTCTTTTCTCTTTCTCTCTTTTTTATTCTTTGTCTTTATGACAAAGAATAGTGCTAAGGAGAGAGAAAGCATACATTTAGAAATAAAGGTGATATAAAAATAAAAGATACAATAAAAAGTGTTTTTACAGAAAAGTGAGTTTAGGCTTGCATCCAAGCAGGGAGTTGGGCAGCCATACAAGCTATTTGTTACTGAGACAGCTGTTCCTCTCCATGGGAATACTAGATAAGCAGATGTACAAAAATCTCTTTGGCTCATGGACACAGAAGTCACATCCTGTCTACATTCAGATCCTGACAACCTTTCAAGAAAACAGAATCCAGCATGCTTCCCACTTCTTGGCAGAAAGATATTAGCCTAGAAGTACAGAATGAAATATTCATTTTCAGATATGGCCAACATGAGGACTTGCTTTGACTAGTGATAATGATAGTTAACAATAATACACCTCTTTAAGGTTGCAAAGCACTTTACATATATTATCTCCTTTGATCCTCATAACAACACTGTATGATAGCTGCTATTATTATCTTTATTTTACAGAGGAAGCAGAAGCCAAACAGTGAAGTAATTTGCCCACAGTCACCAATCACCATAACATCTGAGAAACGGGATTCAAATCCAGTTTTTCCTGACTCCAAGTAGAGCACTCTGTCCACCAGGCTACCTGGCTGTTTTTGTTACAAGGAAAAACAGCACACAGTTATTGAAATCTTTTTAAAAGGTAGGAAAATCAATAAAACATTAAAAACATAAAACAAAAAAGAAGTTCAGGAAAGGACATGAGCAGGGCAATTTTGTTACTATGTTAAATTTAATACACACTCAAAAAAACCCAAACAGAAGTTCACTGTTTCATAAACAATACTCTTTTTTTGTTCTTTCTACAATGTAATGTTCATGTTGGGGGATAATTGCTAAATTCATAATAGAAAGAAAAGTTTTAAATGAAATAAAATAAAAAAATAAAAATTAAATTAAAAATATTTTTAAAAAATAGAATCCAAGGGAATGAACACAGAGCTTTTACTTCTCTTCCATCCCTAAGATCCCCGTCTTATGGATCATCCCAAAGACATTTTTGATCACTGTTGTTGGTATTCATCTGCAATGGAGCAACAGCATCCCCAATTCCTAGAGAATCATGAGGTTAACAAATTGGGTTAACAATAACCCAATATGGGTAGAAAGTACATTATTAGCCCATTTCTGTGACTCAGAAAAGCTAAGTAACTGGACCATTGTCAAAAAGGTAGTGTTAAAGCCAAGACACAAAAGCTTCTAATGTCAAATCCAGGCAGCATTCTTTTCACTGCACTACATGGTTTCTCTCTAATGTAGGTTATTTCCAACTCTGGACAAGGGAAGGCTCTGAGTAAAATGTGTCCCTTTAGAAACACAAAGAATGAATAGAGCAGCATATCAAGGTTTAAAACGAGATCATCTTCCACATGAAAATGCTATCAGGGCTCCAAAGGAAGGGAA